TTGGTGGGCTGACAACGTGGGAGATGGGAGAAGTGTCCAGTTGAAATCGGACGGTTATATCATGCTGTCAGTCAACTGACACCTCGGTTATACCATGCTGTCAGTCAATTGACACCACGGTTATACCATGCTGTCAGTCAACTGACCCCCCCCCCCCCCCACACACGGTTATACCATGTAATCAGACAACTGACCATATGTGGGTGGACATGTTTTAAGAAACTAATAATAAACTGTTATTTAATTGAAATAGAAGTTAAAACGATGGGGCTGGTCTCTCCGGCCATTTGATGGTCCTCTGGGATGGCCCCCTCCCATGAACCTTTAGGGCTCATTGATTGGTGCTCACTAGCACACTCACACACACATACATACAAACACACACACATGCACATACAAACACACACATGCACATACAAACACACACATGCACATACAAACACACACACACACACACACATACATACAAACACACACATGCACATACAAACACACACATGCACATACAAACACACACACCCATGCAGATACACGTACACACATTAACCATAGACTGGGTCAAGAGTCATGCAGGAGCATGTCGTATGTCATGAGTTGATGGGAGCATGTCGTATGTCATGAGTTGATGATAGTCTGACACGAGGTCTGTCAGCTGACGACATTGTTGTATGCTGGGTCTGACAGACAACAACAGCTTTGGTGCTACATTATCTGTCCCATTTGATCGGATCCAGTTCTAGCATTAAGCGTGAGCGGGTTTATACATTAGCGTCCAGCGCTCGCTCAAGGTCGTTGACAAGGTCAATTTTAAAATCAATCACGAAATGATTGCATCGATGATTCAATCATTCTTTTGGTCAGGTGAACATATGACATGACATGCTGACCAAATGACATGACCACATGACCAAATGACATGACCACATGATCAGCTGACCAAATGACATGACCACATGAAATGACCAGATGACCAAATGACATGACCACATGACATGACCACATGACATGACCATATGACCACGTGATATGACTTGGTGTTTGGCCCGCCAGTGATCGTCTGCTAATCAAGTCCTACGTCATCTGGTTACGAGTGCCTGACGTCTACAACTTCTGCCACAGACTCCAAGTGTTATCTGTAAAGATATCGCGGTATATCTGCGGCTCGAGAGCCTCGTAGATCGCACGTCCTTTCATTGGTCTATCCAAGCGCGTGCATTGTAGACTAACTGGGGGTGGGGGTGGGTGGTGGTGATGGATGTGTTGTTTCTAGTGTGGTTAGTATGGTCTAGTGTTAGAGTTAGAGTTAGCGGCAAATTACCGAAGTATCGAATACACAGGGTCCAGCAATTGGTTTGGGGGGGGGGGGGGGAGAGATGGGTTGGTATCTCTGTGTCAATCACTTTGTGTGGGTGGGGGGGGGGAGGGGCACCAATCGTGTTAATTCAACAGAAGCAAACGTCCCGGGGCCAAGAGAAATCAATAACAGCCGAAGCTGAGAACTTTGATCTATTCGGGAACTAAAGTCTCAGGGAGATTCTACATGGGTGACGTCAGCACAGCTATCGACGCGAGCCTTTGCTGGACGGTCCGTCAGATGGTCGTGTCGGATGGTCGTGTTGGATGGTCGTGTTGGATGGTCGTGTTGGATGGTCGTGTTGGATGGTCGTGTTGGATGGTCGTGTTGGATGGTCGTGTTGGATGGTCGTGTTGGATGGTCGTGTTGGATGGTCGTGTTGGATGGCTGTGTTGGATGGTCGTGTTGGATGGCTGTGTTGGATGGTCGTGTTGGATGGTTGTGTTGGATGGTCGTGTTGGATGGTCGTGTTGGATGGCTGTGTTGGATGGTCATGTTGGATTGTGTTATAAAAAAACAACACAGAGATTATATAACATATCAAAAGAAAAAGAAAGTTGACTGAAATAGTCTTTTGCCGACTGAACTAATACCAAGTCAAAAAACCAAAGTCAATTAAATCAAATCATGACTCATGATTAAAACCTCTTTGATTAACTGAGCCAAATCCACCAATCTGTCATGCCATCAATCTGTCATTCTATCAATCTGTCACTCCATCAATCTGTCATTCGATCAATCTGTCATGCCATCTCTCGTTCTATTCATCTATCTATAAATCCAACATAAAATAAATTCATCAATCCATAAATCCAGCTTTCTGTTATTCTATCGATCATTCAAAGCTATATAATAAACAATCCATCAATCAAACAATCCATCAATCAAACCATCCCTCTTTCCTTCAGTCCACAAATCCCTAAATCCACCAATCCCTAAATCCACCAATCCCTAAATCCACCAATCCCTAAATCCACCAATCCCTAAATCCACCAATCCCTAAATCCACCCATCCCTAAATCCACCAATCCCTAAATCCACCAATCCCTAAATCCACCAATCCCTAAATCCACCAATCCCTAAATCCACCAATCCATTAGGCTGGTGAAGTCGTTGAGTGGTTAAACATCCTGAGATTTGTGGGATCACGTGATCAGCTGTACCCACCCCGACTCACCCGCGAATCGATGATGTCAGGTAGATCTAGGCGTGTGGTGGGTGTGGGCGTGTGGTGGGTGTGGTGGGTGTGGGCGTGTGGTGGATGTGGGCGTGTGGTGGGTGTAGGCGTGTGGTGGGTGTGGGCGCGTGGTGGGTGTGGTGGGTGTAGGCGTGTGGTGGGTGTGGGCGTGTGGTGGGTGTGGGCGTGTGGGCGTGTGGTGGGTGTGGGCGTGTGGTGGGTGTGGGCGTGTGGTGGGTGTAGGCGTGTGGTGGGTGTGGGCGTGTGGTGGGTGTGGGCGTGTGGTGGGTGTGGGCGTGTGGTGGGTGTAGGCGTGTGGTGGGTGTGGTGGGTGTGGGCGTGTGGTGGGTGTGGGCGTGTGGTGGGTGTGGGCGTGTGGTGGATGTAGGCGTGTGGTGGGTGTGGGCGTGTGGTGGGTGTGGGCGTGTGGTGGGTGTGGGCGTGTGGTGGGTGTAGGCGTGTGGTGGGTGTGGTGGGTGTGGGCGTGTGGTGGGTGTGGGCGTGTGGTGGATGTAGGCGTGTGATGGGTGTGGGCGTGTGGTGGATGTAGGCGTGTGGTGGGTGTGGGAGTGTGGTGGATGTGGGCGTGTGGTGGGTGTGGGCGTGTGATGAGTGTGGGTGTGTGGTGAGAGTGGGCGTGTGGTGGGTGTGGGCGTGTGGTGGGTGTGTGTGTGTGGTGAGTGTGGGCGTGTGGTGGGTGTAGGCGTGTGGTGGGTGTGGTGGGTGTGAGCGTGGGCGTGTGATGGGTGTAGGCGTGTGGTAGGCGTGGGCGTGTGGTGGGTGTGGGCGTGTGGTGGGTGTAGGCGTGTAGACGGTGTGGTAGTGTGGTGGATGTAGGCATGTGGTGGGTAAGGGCGTGTTGTGTGTGTGGACGTGTGGTGGGTGTGGGCGTGCGGTCGGTGTGTGCGTGTGGTAGGTGTGGGCGGGTGGTGGGTGTAGGCGTGTGGTGGGTGTGGGCGTGTTGTGTGTGTGGACGTGTGGTGGGTGTGGGCGTGTGGTGGGTGTGCGCGTGTGGTAGGTGTGGGCGGGTGGTGGATGTAGGCATGTGGTGGGTAAGGGCTTGTGGTGTGTGTGTGCGTGTGGTGAGTGTGGTGGATGTGGACGTGTGAAGGGTGTGGGATGTGATATCAAGAATTCCAATAATGACCATAACACATTATTTCAGCGTAATATTACACATTAGTGTTTTAACGCACATTGTATCAGTGTTATAGAATTGAAAATGAAGTAACAGAACAAGCGGATGACGTTACAGCTAAAAATAACGTTGACTGGTGAGTGCTTATTTCTTATTACCCCACCCCGCCCCCCACCACCACATGCCCCCACAACCCCCCTTTCCTATATTAAGTTTCTATTTCGCTTGGTTGGAGAGTATGATGAAATTGTGTGGTTAGTAATTGACGACTCCAATCAATTGCGTATTAAAATCTCGTTGGTCAAATGACCACAGCATGAAGTTGGTCAAATAACCACAGCATGAAGTTGGTCAAATATGTACAGCCTTATCTTTCAAACTCTCCTTGGATGTCAGCACCCCCCCCCCCCCTCATGTGGTGTAGATTTAATCTGTCACGCCCCCACCCCACCCGAACTAAATGGCTAGAGCCCCCTTCTCCCCCCGCCCATTCCGCTGAACTACCCCTGGGACTACTCACGTTTAATTAATTTCTATTGACATGATGCTGTCATGGTGAAATGGTGAAATGGTGAAATGGTGAAATGGTGAAAAGGTGAAATGGTGAAATGGTGAAATGGTGAAATGGTGAAATGGTGAAATGGTGAAATGGTGAAATGGTGAAATGGTGAAATGGTGAAATGGTGAAATGGTGAAATGGTGAAATGGTGAAATGGTGAAATGGTGAAATGGTGAAATGGTGAAATGGTGAAATGGTGAAATGGTGAAATGGTGAAATGGTGAAATGGTGAAATGGGAAAATGGTGAAATGGTGAAATGGTGAAATGGTGACATGGTGAAATGGTGAAATGGTGACATGGTGACATGGTGACAGCTATCGTGTGCTGCAGCACAGCTACACACTGACTAGGTCTGCACGTTTAGTCACCTAGTCATGACATGTACACGAATTTAGTCACCTAGTCATGACATCTACACCAATTTAGTCACCTAGTCATGACATCTACACCTATTAAGTCACCTACACATGACATCTACACCAATTTAGTCACCTAGTCATGAAATCTACACCAATTTAGTCACCTAGTCATGACATCTACGCTAATTTAGTCACCTAGTCATGACATCTACACGAATTTAGTCACCTTGTCATGACATCTACGCTAATTTAGTCACCTAGTCATGACATCTACGCTAATTTAGTCACCTAGCTCACCTGTGTAGACCCAGCCTTCTTCACCATCTCTATCCCATCCCCCCACTCTAACCCCACCCCTATCCCCACCCCACGTCACTAGAGTGAGCGCTACCAGCCAGTGTGCACGCGCACATGACGGATGAAGCTCACTGTGGGCGGTACAGTTTGTCGGGATACTCGGCCTCGTAGGGTGCTCAACGATGGCCGCTCATTCAGTGGACAATAATTAACTGACCAGTCCATTGAATGCATCACGTGACTACGTTAGTTTCTCCAGGTGAGTGTTTGATTCATGCCTGTCTCATACTGGCTAGCTAGGGGTCACGTTGTCTAGCTAGTGGTCACGTTGTCTAGCTAGGGGTCACGTTGGCTAGCTATGTGGTCACGTTGGCTAGCTATGTGGTCACGTTGTCTAGCTAGTGGTCACGTTGTCTAGCTAGTGGTCACGTTGGCTAGCTAGTGGTCACGTTGGGTCACGTTGTCTAGCTAGTAGTCACGTTGTCTAGCTAGTCGTCACGTTGTCTAGCTAGTGGTCACGTTGGCTATCTATGTGGTCACTTTGGCTAGCTATGTGGTCACGTTGGGTCACGTTGTCTAGCTAGTCGTCACGTTGGCTAGCTAGTGGTCACGTTGGGTCACGTTGTCTAGCTAGTCGTCACGTTGTCTAGCTAGTCGTCACGTTGGCTAGCTAGTGGTCACGTTGGCTAGCTATGTGGTCACTTTGGCTAGCTATGTGGTCACGTTGGGTCACGTTGTCTAGCTAGTCGTCACGTTGGCTAGCTAGAGGTCACGTTGTCTAGCTAGTGGTTACTTTGGGTCACGTTGTCTAGCTAGTGGTTACGTTGGGTCACGTTGTCTAGCTAGTGGTCACGTTGTCTAGCTAGTGGTCACGTTGTCTAGCTAGTGGTCACGTTGTCTAGCTAGTGGTCACGTTGTCTAGCTAGTGGTCACGTTGTCTAGCTAGTGGTCACGTTGGCTAGTTAGTGGTTTTCTTCCTTCAGCATAAGATGTGCCACGCGATGGCCTAACTATTTAAATATATTGCTTGTTTAATATAAGGGGGGGGGGGGGGGCATCTGGATATTCTTAATTAACTAAATCTTACTTTACGTAATGGCACATTTAAAAAGCTAGTGACGTCAGTGGTTAATTTGTAATTAAGTTGCGGCAGTGATGGTCAAAATCTAATGAGGTACACCTGTTCCATATCAGTTGTGTGGGCCAGACCCGTGTTGTGTGGGCCAGACGTGGGTTGTGTGGGCCAGACCCGTGTTGTGTGGGCCAGACCCGTGTTGTGTGGGCCAGACCCGTGTTGTGTGGGCCAGACGTGGGTTGTGTGGGCCAGACGTGGGTTGTGTGGGCCAGACCCGTGTTGTGTGGGCCAGACGTGGGTTGTGTGGGCCAGACCCGTGTTGTGTGGGCCAGACGTGGGTTGTGTGGGCCAGACGTGGGTTGTGTGGGCCAGACGTGGGTTGTGTGGGCCAGACCCGTGTTGTGTGGGCCAGACCCGTGTTGTGTGGGCCAGACGTGGGTTGTGTGGGCCAGACGTGGGTTGTGTGGGCCAGACGTGGGTTGTGTGGGCCAGACCCGTGTTGTGTGGGCCAGACGTGGGTTGTGTGGGCCAGACCCGTGTTGTGTGGGTCAGACCCGTGTTGTGTGGGCCAGACCCGTGTTGTGTGGGCCAGACGTGGGTTGTGTGGGCCACACCCGTGTTGTGTGGGCCAGACGTGGGTTGTGTGGGCCAGACCCGTGTTGTGTGGGCCAGACCCGTGTTGTGTGGGTCAGACCCGTGTTGTGTGGGCCAGACGTGGGTTGTGTGGGCCAGACCCGTGTTGTGTGGGCCAGACCCGTGTTGTGTGGGTCAGACCCGTGTTGTGTGGGCCAGACCCGTGTTGTGTGGGTCAGACCCGTGTTGTGTGGGTCAGACCCGTGTTGTGTGGGCCAGACCCGTGTTGTGTGGGCCAGACCCGTGTTGTGTGGGCCAGACCGGTGTTGTGTGGGCCAGAACCGTGTTGTGTGGGCCAGACGTGGGTTGTGTGGGCCAGACCCGTGTTGTGTGGGCCAGACCCGTGTTGTGTGGGCCAGACCCGTGTTGTGTGGGCCAGACGTGGGTTGTGTGGGCCAGACGTGGGTTGTGTGGGCCAGACGTGGGTTGTGTGGGCCACACCCGTGTTGTGTGGGTCAGACCCGTGTTGTGTGGGCCAGACGTGGGTTGTGTGGGCCAGACGTGGGTTGTGTGGGCCAGACCCGTGTTGTGTGGGTCAGACCCGTGTTGTGTGGGCCAGACCCGTGTTGTGTGGGCCAGACCCGTGTTGTGTGGGTCAGACCCGTGTTGTGTGGGCCAGACGTGGGTTGTGTGGGCCAGACGTGGGTTGTGTGGGCCAGACGTGGGTTGTGTGGGCCAGACCCGTGTTGTGTGGACCAGACCCGTGTTGTGTGGGCCAGACGTGGGTTGTGTGGGCCAGACGTGGGTTGTGTGGGCCAGACGTGGGTTGTGTGGGCCAGACCCGTGTTGTGTGGGCCAGACGTGGGTTGTGTGGGCCAGACCCGTGTTGTGTGGGCCAGACCCGTGTTGTGTGGGCCAGACCCGTGTTGTGTGGGCCAGACCCGTGTTGTGTGGGCCAGACCCGTGTTGTGTGGGCCAGACCCGTGTTGTGTGGGCCAGACCCGTGTTGTGTGGGCCAGACCCGTGTTGTGTGGGCCAGACGTGGGTTGTGTGGGCCAGACGTGGGTTGTGTGGGCCAGACGTGGGTTGTGTGGGCCAGACCCGTGTTGTGTGGGCCAGACCCGTGTTGTGTGGGCCAGACGTGGGTTGTGTGGGTCAGACGTGGGTTGTGTGGGCCAGACCCGTGTTGTGTGGGCCAGACCCGTGTTGTGTGGGCCAGACCCGTGTTGTGTGGGCCAGACGTGGGTTGTGTGGGCCAGACCCGTGTTGTGTGGGTCAGACGTGGGTTGTGTGGGCCAGACCCGTGTTGTGTGGGCCAGACCCGTGTTGTGTGGGCCAGACGTGGGTTGTGTGGGCCAGACGTGGGTTGTGTGGGCCAGACCCGTGTTGTGTGGGCCAGACGTGGGTTGTGTGGGCCAGACCCGTGTTGTGTGGGCCAGACGTGGGTTGTGTGAGGGCCAGACGTGGGTTGTGTGGGCCAGACCCGTGTTGTGTGGGCCAGACCCGTGTTGTGTGGGCCAGACGTGGGTTGTGTGGGTCTGACCCGTGTTGTGTGGGCCAGACCCGTGTTGTGTGGGCCAGACCCGTGTTGTGTGGGCAACACCCGTGATGTGTGGGCCAGACCCGTGTTGTGTGGGCCAGACGTGGGTTGTGTGGGCCAGATGTGGGTTGTGTGGGCCAGACCCGTGTTGTGTGGGCCAGACCCGTGTTGTGTGGGCCAGACCCATGTTGTGTGGGCCAGACGTGGGTTGTGTGGGCCAGACCCATGTTGTGTGGGCCAGACGTGGGTTGTGTGGGCCAGACCCGTGTTGTGTGGGCCAGACCCGTGTTGTGTGGGTCAGACCCGTGTTGTGTGGGTCAGACCCGTGTTGTGTGGGCCAGACCCATGTTGTGTGGGCGCCACCCGTGTTGTGTGGGCCACACCCGTGTTGTGTGGGTCAGACCCGTGTTGTGTGGGCCAGACCCGTGTTGTGTGGGCCAGACCCGTGTTGTGTGGGCCAGACGTGGGTTGTGTGGGCCAGACCCGTGTTGTGTGGGCCAGACGTGGGTTGTGTGGGCCAGACCCGTGTTGTGTGGGCCAGACGTGGGTTGTGTCGGCCAGAGCCGTGTTGTGTGGGCCAGACGTGGGTTGTGTGGGCCAGACCCGTGTTGTGTGGGCCAGACCCGTGTTGTGTGGGCCAGACGTGGGTTGTGTGGGCCAGACGTGGGTTGTGTGGGCCAGACGTGGGTTGTGTGGGCCAGACGTGGGTTGTGTGGGCCAGACGTGGGTTGTGTGGGCCAGACGTGGGTTGTGTGGGCCAGACCCGTGTTGTGTGGGCCAGACCCGTGTTGTGTGGGTCAGACCCGTGTTGTGTGGGCCAGACCCGTGTTGTGTGGGCCAGACCCGTGTTGTGTGGGCCAGACGTGGGTTGTGTGGGCCAGACCCGTGTTGTGTGGGCCAGACGTGGGTTGTGTGGGCCAGACCCGTGTTGTGTGGGCCAGACGTGGGTTGTGTGGGCCAGACCCGTGTTGTGTGGGCCAGACGTGGGTTGTGTGGGCCAGACCCGTGTTGTGTGGGCCAGACCCGTGTTGTGTGGGCCAGACGTGGGTTGTGTGGGCCAGACGTGGGTTGTGTGGGCCAGACGTGGGTTGTGTGGGCCAGACGTGGGTTGTGTGGGTCAGACGTGGGGAAGAACTGTACACAACCTTATATACAGATATGTTTGGCGTTTTTTGTGTATTTGGTTTTTTCTGTTTGCACCTTTTTCCGTTGCGTATATTTCTGGGAACTACCGGGTAGGGTTCAACTTGTTTTATTTGGGTTGATACTACCATAGCATTATATCTAAGCGTGGGTTAAAGGTCAGTCTCCACTATCCTATTTACCGAACAAGAGCACATTGCTTATTTCATCAACCATAATAAACACAGCGTGAAAGTGACGGCAGCTGGCGCGAGGGCTGCTATAAATAGCTAATCCGCGTGATTAGCCGAATGATTGAAAAGTGTACGTCTATTGTGTACGTCTATTGTGTACGTCTATTGTGTACCGGATTATTGAGTTGGTTTAATAGTTTGAGCGACCTTTGAGTGACCTTGGACTATAACTTTCTTTAACTACCACCAGTCCTTTGCCAGCTCGACTGCCCTTATGCCGGTCCGACTGCCCTATTCCTAGTTTCTAGGTCAATATGGCTGATCCCCCCCCCCTGGCTGATCCTCCCCGCCCCCTGGCTGATCCTCCCCCCCTGGCTGATCCTCCCCCCCCCGGCTGATCCTCCCCCCCCTGGCTGATCCTCCCCCCCTGGCTGATCCCCCACCCCCCTGGCTGATCCTCCCCCCCCCTGGCTGATCCTCCCCCCCCCCTGGCTGATCCTTTCCCCCCCCCCCACAGAATGATGCCACTGCCGTGTGTCATCAAGAAATCCCAACATGCCACAGCCAGACAGGAAATCAAATGACATTTGAGCAGGTCATCTTGACCTGACACGGCATGCTCATATTTTTAGTTTGGTGCGCATGTACACATCAATATTCACATATTTTTAGTTTGGTGCGCATGTACACATCAATATTCACATATTTTTAGTTTGGTGCGCATGTACACATCAATATTCACATATTTTTAGTTT